GGCCTTAGGACCGCCCCACCGTCCGCTGAGAACTGCACTGTATCAACCTACTTTATTTCACCGCACTCAAAGTCGCGTAGAACTTGACGTGGCTAAACATATGTAACTAGAGTATGGGCCCTTCCGAGGCACACAGCTTCTGTAAGAAAAAAATGTCGGTTGTACTTCTAAGGCCTTGTGTGCTCTGCACCAAAATGCCCCGCCAGATTGCACCACAGCTAAATGATTAATGTGCCCCATCATGAAAACAGCTGCAGTGGCATTCTGGCATGCTTTCACCTTCCGGTAGATCACATTCTCCCCAATCAGTTCCATGTCTTGTCGTAATTTGAGCAGGAATCAACCGCGGAGCAGGTTTTCTGGTCACTTTCAGCAGGTATTGTTCTCTAATGGTTTTTAGTTTAGTTAAATTGAAATGAAATGTTGAATGATTAATGTTGAATTACAATTGTAACGCTTGTTTCGAAATGTTCGTTTATTGCTTTCCTTATCGCTTTTTCCTGTCGAAATTCCTGTCTACAGATGAATCTCGTCGAAGAAGCGCTTTGCAAAGAACGAAACAAGAGAGTTTTATCTATTCAGAGTCATGTCGTGCATGGCTATGCTGGAAATAAAGCTTCTGTTTTTCCACTTCAGGTATGAAGCTACGTTTGTTTTATTTCTACTTCTATTTTGTTGAGCTTCTCTGTGGTAAATGAGCTTCCACTAACTCTGGCTTTACCCTTTGTAATGCTAATCAATAATGTTGAATGGGAGCAATTCTTTTTTCTTCAAACGTGTCTCATTCTTCGTTCATTCGATTAAAGTAGCAGTGGTTTAACAAATAGCGTCAGTCGGTGTTTCTCGAATAGCCCATTTGTTCCACCACTGCACCTTTGTTAACAATAGTTTACCTTTTGTATTGCCCCCTTTCCACCGGACTCTGGCATTTAGCGAAAAATCTCCGTGATAACTTGATTCTCTTCTTCTTCCAAGCGAATTTCAAGGTGGAACCTTTGATCGGCCACACGTTTAAACCCCCTCTTTCTTCCTCAGGGGTTTGAAGATTATATAAAAGATGAGCCCAATGAAGCGCTGCAAGTACAGTTACAGGATAATGCTGTAACAATGAATATCAGCTAGTACCATTATCAAAACTTAATTCGCACGCAGGCAGTACTGACATGAAAACGACGCGTATCTGTGGCATCAAGTGAGGGTGAGGACTGAGCAGATGACCTTTCGAGTGGCGGAGCGTGGTTGGGTCGAAGGAAGTGGAAGAAGTATAACGCATACGCCTGTGGCTCGCTGCTGACCAGAAGGGGCGTGTACAGGCAGGTAAATGAGTTGTCGCGCACGTAGCGCCAAATACCGCATTCTCATGTCGCTTATTGAGCTGGCTGTTTGTGACAACCAATTTGGAAGTCGGAGACGCGGAGACGAGTGATCCGCAGAGGGCCACACCCCCCCCCCACCTATTACCCCCCTATCCCCCGCCGGGCCGGAGGCCGGGCGCTGCGCGGGCGAGGGTGGGGCACGACAAGCGGTCAGGGCCGAGGTAGAAGGCGGAGAGCGGGGGGCCCGGGCGGGCACCTCGCGAGGGCTAGGTCGGCGGGCCGCACCGGGAGCAGGGCAGAGCGACGGAATCGCCGGGGGCGGAGCGCACTTGCGGCGTGGACGAGCGCCGGGAGGGCACGGGTCGGGGCCCCAACTGAGGCCCCGACCTCACAGGCACCCACGGGCGCCCCCCCTCTCCACCTCCCCTCCCCCAGGTCACGCCCTCGCGGCTGCCCCGAAGTAGTGTGATTGTGATCATTGTCACTCTGCTCACCTTCAACACTGGTGGAGCAGCGGGTTTGCACCGCGGGCACAGAGACTATCCCGACTAGACACGCACCGCCTTGCCGCAGTCAACTAGACCGTAGGTAATGCGTCTAGCTATTTGGAAGATAGGCGCTGAGGTTTTCCAGGCGTTCTGAGAGAGCTTGCACGTCGCTGAACGAAAAGAAAAGTGTCAGGCAGTCTAGCCAGAAGGGCTGCCGCGTCGTCAAAGGACGGTGATGAAGTTATCGAAAAACAAAATCAAGCGGCGAATGTTCGTTATGTTTCCCTACGTAAATGTGATGATTGAATACTCGTTTTTTGATGTTCTGATGCACTAGGAGCTAATTACTGGCATTGAGCTTGCTTCTTCAGAAATAAATGACATCGAGAGCTCAAAATACGGGGAATAAAATGTTCGCCTCGCAAACATGAGGGAGAAACAACCAAGACCAACATCAGGTTGGGCGAACTCCTTCGGTGAATATTTAAAACAATCTAAGAGTCATTTCGGGTTCGGTCATAGCGCAATAGCGCTCTTTGAGCCGTGAGGACGTGTAGCCCCACTCGACAGGCTTGGCAGGATCTCCGGTATTGGTGAACGCCCTGTCCACCAGTGTGGAGGTATTTGTTAACGTACCATGGACAGTGTCAAAATGGGGGTTGTGCTGTGCTCAACTATGAAACGGGAGTTTTTTATTTCTTATTTTGTTATCGTTTTACTAGGATCACCTGTCGTCAACCCTACCTCCCTGATGAGTTGCGATGTTGACGAAATGAAGATGGTTTGTCTGAGAAATAGGCGAAACGGACCCTGTGTGGTTCGATTTATTTATCTTTTAATCTTTGTTTCTCTTTTTTACTACTCACTTTCCTCCCTGAACTGCTTTGCCAGTACATCCCATAGCTTAAATTTAACAGCATCCACTGCTAATAAATCGTTGAACTTCAAAAATTCAATTGACACAAAGTTGCAGTGCTTTGAGAAGTGTTCACATTAGTGTGCTCATTAGCTTGAGGCATTTGATTCCGAATGTTTTCACTTTTTAGTTGAATGGCTTCGAAGTGGATCCGATCAACAGTGTGCAGTTCAGCAACCATGCGGGTAACGTCGAATTCTTGAACCTGCCTAAAAGTGATTCACTTGGCTTGCTCTAATAAACCCCGCATGCCTTGCTTTCGCTTTGGTCTCAGAGGGAGTTAGATTTGCAGAAATCATAAAAACTTTAAGGATATGAGTATGTGAAAGGCCAACGGCTAACAGACGTGGAATTGAACGATCTGTACGAAGGGCTGAAACTAAATGGTATCAATGAGTATTCGTATGTTCTCACAGGTGGGTTGGTTTTTTTCAGAAATTCTCTTTTCTGATCAGGGAGATATCCACTTGAGACGCAAAACGCGAACTTTTCGCGACAACGCGCGCAAAAAGTTCTCAAACAAGGCTACGGTTTTGTCTTTTTTTTACATATTCTTGTATTCTAATTGTTTCCAAACATTGTTGTTCAGTAGAGGTCATTTAGTAGGTAAGAGCAACCAGAACATGTTAGACCCAGCAAAATTCATTCGCAGCGAAGGTGCGCCCTAAACACATGTGCGCCATACACTCCAAAAAATAGAAAGTGGTGGGATTTACTCTACCTAACCTTTCTTCTCTTCAGGTTACTGTGGGAACGTGACCTTTTTAACCAAGATTGCTGACATCATCAAAGATCTCAAGAATAACGATTCGAACGTGCTTTATGGTGAGTTTTTTCTGTGATCACTGCGGCTTTTTTTCGGGAATTTTCTACTTATTGGTTTCAGTATGTGATCCTGTGATGGGAGACAATGGAAGATACGTAGGTTTTCCTTCACCTTTTAATAAAGCTACCTTTTTTCCAATTCTGGTAATTCGTGTGGTGGATGCTTATGACCTTGGATGGGCATTCAAGGACGCGTTCCTACCTTGCGACTGAGGGGATTCGGTGATTTGAGGGATCGCGTGGAAATGTAGGCATTATCTGGTGACTGTGCAGATTGATCCATCCCGCTTTTTGGGAGATCATCGAGTTTCTCCGGATCGCTCAATCTCCCAGATCGTCGTTTCTGCGCAATGATAGCAACCGGTGCCGATCAATACCCATCCATTCTTTTGGCGCGCACTCACCGGAAACGCCGCCCAAATCGCTGGATCGCTCAATCATCACAGTCGCTATATCGGTGCCTATACTACTTCCCAGCCGCAAAGTGTGTACGCGGCCTAAAGGACTTTTTGTGCGCAACTGGAATTGTCGTCATCTGAGCAGAGCTGACATTCTTGAAATCGGCTCACTCATCTCGCACCTTCTCCCCTTTCGAGCAAAAGCCCTTACATCCCTTACAACAACTTTAGTTTTGTTCAAGGAGTTCTTTTACGCCCCTCAATGGTTAGCAAGCCCAGGTATGGACTGAAAGTGATTCACTGTTAAAGCGCAATCTCTTTTTATTCAGTACGTTCCGAAAGAGCTGCTGCCCGTCTACAGAGATATCATTGTTCCACTGGCCAATGTGCTGACGCCGAACGCTTTTGAGCTAGGGTAATGTTGTTGATATCTGGGCGAGGTTTCAGTTTAATCGATGTTTTTTTTTTCAGAGAATTGGTTGGGTTCGAAATTTTCACTGAAGAGGATTGTATTCGGGGTATGGACATTATCCATGATCTTGGGGTTAGTAACGTCGTTGTGACAAGTGGAGTATCAGAGACCGAAACTGCTGATACACTCACATGCTATGCCAGCACCAGAGGTAAGCCCGTTGATCGAACATTTGTTCCTTCTTGTCTGACGTAGTTCAAGGGAACCACACTTGATATTCGGCGGACAAAACTTGAATCATAGCCATGGTACGTCATGCCGCTGGGAAATTTTTTGAAAAAACGACCCACCCAGATTTCGTCATTTACTATGACTCCCCCCTTCCCCATCTTTAATTATTTATTTATCTTACCCAACTTCCCAACATTCTCTAGCTTCCTACAGCTTTCCGAAAATTCTCAGAAAATTGTTTTTCCCAAAAATTTCGCTATTGAGCAGTGGGAGGGGAGGGGAAGCACATAAGAAACGTGAAATACCGCGAAAAGTCAGTAACCGGAAAATATGTCACCAAAGCGGCAACTTTCTCTTTCTCTCTCTTCTTTCTCAATTACGACTCCCCCCCCTCCTCCCCCTCTCCCCAGCGGCCAAATACGACCCTCCGCTGGGGGTTCCCCGACGTACGACGTGGTCTGATCGTAGCACATGCTGTCTGTAGCCTTTTTCATTGCTGTTGAAAAACACCTGATAATTAGATGCCACCGGGAACGTGCGTCGGTTCCGATTCCGTTTCCCACGCTTACGAGGGCAATTCGTTGGAACTGGTGACGTGTTCACATCACTCTTGACTGTATGGTTATCAAATTGCGAGAATGACGTTTGTGATGCTGTCGGACACGTGCTGGGATCTATGCAAGGCCTAATAAGGAGAACTAGTAACTATGCACAAGGTTAGTGATGTCGTTTCTTCTTCATTCATGTCTTCTTAAAGACAGCCCCCGCGATCAAAGTGGCTCGTGGTCGCCTTTGCTGTGCAAGTAGTCTAGCCTCCAAGCTAGAAGACTGTTCACCTTTCGCGACTCTATTGTGAGCGTGGAGGCTGCTATAGCCGCTCAAAGTGCTAGTTCTAACTCCTCCTCAGTCGGACCGCCTTTACTTGCTAGATGTCTTCCCACGGAAGCTACTCACTTGCTCTTAGTTGGGGCGGCGGGCGTT